ACATGGCGCGGCAGACCTCTCCTGACCCGCCCGCTGCTCCCCTCAGCAGTGTACTTCGTCGTTCTGCCTGTTCTGCTCCCCACTCTTGTGTCTGGTGAATCCTCTCACCGCCCCTGCACTTCTGGCCTGTACCACAGCTCTGTATGCATAAATAAATAAATCTTAAAAAAAAAAAAACCTATTTTTTGACTTCAAAACTTGTGATTTTTCTTAAAAAAAAAACAAAACACCTGCAGAGAACAGACAGAAGTCTTAACTCTATTTCCCTTGTTATGTGGTACAAAATATTTGAGATCCTTTTGAAAATTATTCTAGGCTTTTAATATTCCCAAGTATACTCCAATAATGGGGAAAAGGTTAAACTTTGCTAAGTAAGGGTTTCCCCACCAAACTCTCCCTCCAGCTAGTCCTAGGACCTCTAATAATAAAAAAGTAGCCTTTAGCAAATAGCTCTTTAAGCCTCCTATCTCTCCCTGAGTGCTTACCACAATCTGATTTCTGGACAGCTGACCCAAACTTGGTTGATTGTACTGATCTTCAGAAAGCCACTGAGTGTCTAAAGTCTTAATGAACAAAGTGAAGTATCAGATGCCCTGCCATACTTTACAGAATCAGAAGTTGGACAACACAGTTACGTTTGGTTGTACTGTGGTGAAACATATGAGGCATCTTCTTTTTGTCTTCAATTAGCCACGTTTGGGCTCAGTAGCTCTATTACATCTTCAAAAACTGAGCTCCAGTTCTTGATGGAGATAGAGGAAGGTCATTGAGGAGGTGGTTCAGCTCAAGAGCTAAGTGAAAAATCTGTCTTTTGATTCAGTCCTGCTTGTGGATAGAAGTCATCTTCTGGATGGAAGAGGGACTGAGATGACCTAGAGTCTTGAATTGGTGGATCTGCAGGAACAGAAACTAAATACAGTGGAGACCTCTTAACTGAGTTACACCACGAGATGGATTTCCTGCTAATGTGTCAATAAAAGCTAAGTATAAAGATTAATAAACATGTGCACTGGAACTGATCATGCACTTGTTTTTCCAGATATCAAATGCATCTGTACCATTCAATGAATAAGTTATGTTTCCCCAGTAACTAACTGTAAAACAATTTATGGAAAAACTACCACCTTGGGAGTGGAGGGGAGTGAAACCCATTCAAACAAAAATCTATATACAACGCCTTTGGGAGTGCCACATCCTCACTTTAAATTCAGTTATTTTTTCAAATGAGTTTTTTCTCCATATACACAAACAATAACCTGTCTACTGATATAGTGTCAGTGTTAATATACATCAAATTTTAACTTGAGGTGGATCTTTTAATTTTTTTATCACCTAGAGAAATGGAATTCAAATACACTCAAGACACTAAATTGGGACTTGAATAGTCTATCTCCTCATAAAGGCTAAGACTTGTATTAACCAAGCTGAGTTCTTCTTATCATCCAAAAGACGTATATATCATGAAGTCAGGCAATCTTTAAATGTGAATAGTGGCCACCTCAAATTTCCCTCAAACTTCTATTTGGGGTGGGGACGAAAAAAAAAAATGCACAAAAACTAAGAAAGCCCACAACCAGGTTGCAATGGATCTAATTTAAAATTTCTCTATTAACAAAAATTTTGATGAAATTCGATTACTGTCTTCCACTTAGAATTTGACTATGTAAATTTACTGTATATACTCTCATAATTATTAGACCAGGGATTAGCAAACAACAACCTATATGCCAAATCCAGAATGTCATTTATTTTTGTATATGAGATCACAGCCACGTGAGCTAATTTTTACTGTGACCATTTTTACTTTATAATAGCACAAAAAGTAATTGCAACAGAAAACTGCAAGACCTAAAATAATACTATCTATAAAAAAAATTTTTGCCAAACCCTTGATCAGATGATTATTAAAACATATGTAAGACTATTTGTCTTTTAGAGAAATAACAAGCAGAAGTTAGATATAGATCAATCATAATAAACTTACCATAAAAAGCAAAAAGGTGCCCCAAAGAATGTCCATGAGGACACTAATATAGATGAAAAATTTGATCCAATTCAACATAACCACTTAATTTTTGAAAGTATATGGGTAAATTATACTGATCTCAAATAGTGCAGAGTACTATTTGACATATGTCATGGAACTTTTCACTTCAAAATTATTTTTATGCCATGAACTTCACCTCAAAAAATTATTTTTCAAGAGTATATACAGTATTTTACAGATTTCTACCTTTAACTGGCCACATTATATTGTAGTGGTTAAATATGTAAGTTACATCTTACCTAATAATGTGGTTTTCTCCAAAATCTCTTAGATCATCTCAGACCCTTGTGTATATTTCTTCTTTGCCAGTAGATGGAGACAACACCACTGAAAGTTTAAAAGACATCATTCCCTGTTTAAAGGGAGCTTGCTGGTCTGAAAACTGGGGGAACCCTAACCCAAGATTTCTTCAGTAATTTTTTTTTTAAGCTATTTTTTAAAAATCAGAATCAGACATCAAGCTTAAAGAACTGGCTATGCCAAAACCAGAAATCCAAGGGAATGCACCCAATACTATGGACATCCTCACAAATTTAGTAAAGGGGAACTAAACTGAATTATGTTGTAGTAACTAAATCACAGTATTAAAATGCAATCATCTCTATAACTTGTAAGTAAGAATTGTGTAACTTGTGGCTCACTGTTCCTAATTTAGACTAAGTGGTTTATCTTTAGAAAATATAAATCAGGCTATGTAAGAAAAAGGAGTTATTTGAATTCCAGAGGTAGATTCAATACATATTTGCAGTTTTTTAAGTCTTAGTCATATGCGGTTAGATGCCTTTTATTCAAAGACAACTATCCAGATCCACATGAAAATAAAAACTTTACAAATAAAGAGAATTAAAGCAGAAATAGTGGCAGTAGTAAGAAAAAATTCAATTTTTTAACTGCTCATGAAGGGGAAGAATCAAACTCATCTACTTTCTAAGCTGCTTTTTCAAATTGTGACAGACCAAAACCATATAAAAGAAATACATTTCAAATCAGTAAGTTTAAGAATTACATTTTTCAAGTAACAACTTTCCTTTACAAATTCAAAGCCTGTATGTGAGTCATCATTTTAAGTGTAATTTTGAACAAAAAAAAAAAAATCAAGGATATTTTAAGCTTACAAAAGAGAACTAAGCTACTGCTATCAATCTATAATACTAGTCCCCAAAGAGCACTAAAATAAGGACAATCTAGTCATGAGAAGATGTCTTAGTAAGAAAGGTTTATATACCTGAAACTATGTATCTAGTAAAAAGGAATACAAAATTCTTTAAAACCCCCATTTTTATTTTCTGATGAGGGAGAAGTGCTTATAACTAAATTTTTAAGTAAAGCAACAACTGAACGAGTGCCTTGAAGTTTTGAGATTAAAATAAAGTAGTATCTACCAAACTGCAATATACAAACCATATTACTAAAAAGGAAGTAAATATGACCAACAAGGAATGACTTTTCTTTATATTAACTGGACTTGGGGGTAAAAAATACCATCATGTACCAAAACTAAAATCAGCTTACATAAAAGTGAACACAATATTCAGGTCTTACCATGCCTACAAAAGTTAAGTTAAACTAGAACTGACATGATTGTGACACAAAATCCTCTTGTGGCTTATTACTGAACTTCTATTTAAATCTGAAATTTTCTGATTTCTGAGATAGTAACTATCACCTGCCAACAAAACTATACTCACATCTAACTGCCTACTAAGAGTCCACAAACAACCATAAACACCTATTCATCATTCACATGGTCAATGTTCTTATAAATCCTTGAGTTGACTTTCTCATGACAAGACATTTTTGACGCTTACCCAATCATTCAACAACTAGTCTGGTGTGTATAAAGATAATACTAATTAAATAATCACCATCACAGAAAGGCACTTTGCAATCTTCAAAGTGTATTTACAGATATTAATTACCTTAATTAATAGAATGATCTCAAAGTAAAAACTGAGTCCTACACATATAATTCCAAATGAAATGTAAATGATGGTACTGGCATGGTGACTTGTACATCAACACAGATGGGGAAGAAATGTTTAGCCCTAAATTTTTAAGCAAAGCAACAACTGAAATTGTGCCTTGGAGTTTTGAGATTAAAATAAAGTAGTATATGGACTCTCCCTATTGGCGCAACTGGTTAAAGCTCTGCACTATGAAGCTCTCAGAAGCCACTGAAGCACAAGTTCACTCCCCAGCCAGGGAGCTGATCCACGTGGTATATGGCAGACCTCTCCTGATGTGCCCAATGCTCCCCTCAGCAATGTGTTTCAGTACATCTGCCTGTTCTGTTCCCCCCTCTGTCTCTGGTGAATCCTCTCATCCACCACACCTCTGGCCTGTACCCCAGTTCTGTAAGCATTAAAAAAAAAAAAAAAAAAGTAGTATCTACCAAACTGCAATCGACAGACCATATTACTAACAAAGAAGTAAGTATGACCAACAAGGAATGAGTTTTCTTTATATTAACTGAACTTGGGGGAAAAAAATACCAGGTGTTAACCTGGAAGTTCTTGGGGGAATCTATGATGTCAGTGCTTCTGCCTCCACCTGCTGGCAAACAGATCATGAAACTAACAGAGTTCACTAGGTTAAAAAAAAACAAATTAATGACTTTTTGGGCAATTATTTAGCATAAAGCTACTTTGTATTAGTAAGTCATTTAAATACTGATGAACTTCATTAGGAAAAAACACAATTAAACTTCACTCAAAAAAAATTACGAGATTCTTAGTTCAAAATGTTATCTAATAGGCCAAAAATTAAGTAAAAAAAAAAAGTTAAATTACCTGATAAATGACATCTTGAAAAAGGACTGGAAAAGTAAGTGCTGCATCTTCTAGTTCATTTAGACTACAGTGTACTAGTGTTTCATCCTTAAAATAAAGAGCACATTTTGAATGAATCAAGATATTAAAAGAAATTTCAAATAACTGAATGATCACAAAAACCACAATATGAAGGCATACATTCATAAAGGGAATTTCATGTATAGTTTTATGTGTGTAGAGTCTGGGACAGAATTTTCTAAGTTCTCAGGTGTGGTCCCTGGACCAGCAATAAGTATTAGCAACACTTGGAAACTAGTTAGAATGCAAATTCTCCAGCTCCGCTACTCATCATTTAGAAACTCAGCAGAAGGTAGAGTGGACCTCAGCAAACTATGCACACTCATGTTTGAGAACAGAGTACTATGGCTGCCAATTTTCTGTTAATTAAACCAAAAACATTTTTTTCAATTTTCAACTAGCAAATGGAAGTTTAGAATTATTTTTAAAATGCATACATTCTACTTATAGTTACTTAAACTTTTTATGAAGAATTTTACTTTAGATGATGGATATTTTAGTATCTGAATAAGTTTCATAAACATTATTTGAAGCAGTCAATGAAGAACTGTCATCTTGGATGACCAAAACCTATTTTCTCATAAAGAGGATAAGGTGAGAATCATTTTAAAGGAATGTACAAATGTGTTGCTCAGATTCTGAAAGCTTAAAAAAATAAAAAAATCAGGATTTTCATTTATACAAAATTTTAAAATAAAGTTATCACACCCACCCCAAATTTTTCAATGTGATTAAGATGATTTAAAATAATCACAAATATTCATACCTTGTGATACCATATCTTATTAGCTGGAGTTTTTCTTTTAACTTAAATTCTGGGGAGACAATGAGCAAAAAATACTCTAGATATGCCTTACTTTCTTTTAGTAGCATACAAGACTATAAATGTCAGGGTATTCTCCCAGAATTTTTTTAAATGCTATTCTTCCTACATTTGAATCATAACCAGTTTTACTTTATCATGTACAGCCTAGCTAAATATTGATCATTCCTTTTTATTTACGTTGATAATTTAATGTTAACCTATTCTTATCTTCCTTTGCTATTTTTCCCCCATGGGATTAAAAATTACATGGCCAAACTTGCTATCATGAACACATTAACTCCTAACATAAAATTCTAGGAAAATTCTCTTTCAGTTTCTTCATTAACTTGCATATCAGATTTGAATTATTCATAACCAGTTACAAAAATGCGCTTTCTTTTTCTACTTACCCTTTAATAAATATCTAGGACTTCTGGATATCTCCTTTATGTCATTGGCTAGATAAAGGGCTTATAAGGTGATAAACTATCAAAACACTATTCATGCTAGTTAATACTTAAAAATATGCTTTTCCTCAAGATAAACTATTTGAAAACTAAAACATTTCTAATTACAGGGAACCAGTAGCAAAGGCTAAATCATAAAATCTTTTTTATAGTATAAAAGGTACATATGTTTTGCTCATATAGAGACGTTATGAGCATATGGTAAATACAGGGACTTGCTGAATTAAATTTGGTTATTAACAAAAGATAGCAGATACTTAGTTTTCAAAGCACCTCCGGTACCCTAAAATATAATTTTCAAATCACATCACAAGTGTGTTAAAGGTTTTAGTAGTCAGTATTAAGAGTCTAGTAGTATAACATTTTGGTATAAAATAATTTACAAAAAATAAAAATAGAAAAAACAAGCATATTCTTGCATAAAATTAACCTACTGAGACCCACATTATATTTTATTTTATTTGATCCTTCAGGGAAATATCCTGTCCCTCCAAAAAACAGTGAAATCTAGTAATAAAAAACAATGCAATTCATCTTAAAGAAATAACTAAAAAATAAATCACAAAGGTGCCAAGAGTATGAGGCAAAGAATTTATATACAAAAAATAAAAACAAATTTATTTTCAAGGCTATTGTATCATTCTCATTATGCTATACTTAAGTAAAAATGTTTCAGGTGTGCCATGGTGGTATAAAGGGTTAAGTTTCAGCACTATTAAGCAATCACCAGTGTCTGCACCATGAGTTCAATCCCTGGCAGGGAGCAGACCCACATGACGCAGCAGACCTCACCTTTTCATCCTCTGCTCCCCTCAGCAGTGTATTTCAGTCAGTCAGCCTGTTCTGCTACCTACTCTGTCTCTGGTGAATCCTCTCACCCCCCCACCTCTGACCAGTTCTTGAAGGAATAAATAAAAATGCATATTAAAAAAAAGTTCCAGGATATCTAAGGCACATTTATAGAAAAGATTTAAGACTATTCATTCACTTATATTTTTTAATGTATTTTGAGCTAGTGTATTTTTTTTTAAGAATTTAATTCTTTTATTTTTCATTACCACTATAGATAATAAACTTACCAGGTCTAAAACTAAAGAGAATTCTGGTGTGCTTCTTGTTTTCAATGGAAGAGCAGGTTTCCTGTTTAGTTGTTCTTCTGTCAGTGGTGGTACATGTTTGATGAAATAATAGCTATAAATCAAATATTAAGAAAATTTCAACATTTCTACTCTTTATGAATATAAACAGTATTACTAAATTCAGCCCAACTTTAAATATTTATTGAAATTACACCTATTTAACCCATTTGACTTGTAAAAACATGTAAACAAAACTGAAAATATACAAATCAACACATTAAAAGTCACATCCACAGGTCAAATGTTCCACACATGTACTTTGTTTATACCAACTCAGCTACCTCTCTATACATGTACTCTCATTCTGCTTCAAAAGGTAAAGAAAAAAGAAAACTCACGGGTCAAACACTTCCCAGTCCTCTTCATAGGTGGCCTCTGTGTGCGCTGATGAATAACCATTATCTGGAGTTACTGGGGCTACTTAGTAAAGTGAAAAACAAAAAGTTATTTTTATTCACAGTTTCCATGAAGTATACATTTTTCCTGCTTTTATTATTAGATCTTCCTAAAGACCTCTGTATCTTAAGTAAAACACACAACATAATTTGTAACAGTATTTACAAGCAATTCTTTAAATTGAGGTGACTTTAGTTTACAAACATTGTGTAGAGTTCAGGTATACAGCTTCTCACCTGAACATATATATCATACTATGCCCATCAGCAAATGTCCAGTCACCATCAATCACCAACCAATTAGCCCTCTTTTATCCATTCTATCCATTCTCTCCCAACACCCCCTTTGGTAACCACTAGTCAGTCTAAGGGTTTGTTATGTAAAAGCAAATCTATTAAGACACACCTCTAACTCCACACGCAAAGGAAAAAAATTACCTCTACAAACAAAAATGAAATGCTAGATTACGCCAGAAGAATTAGAAGTAGAAAGAGGAAATTTACTACTTATTACTAGAAAAATATGATACAAAAATTCAATTTCTAAGTAATTTAGAGATGACTTAAATTACATGGGAGGGGCCTCCCTGGTGGCACAGAGGTTAAGTTTCAGCACTATGGAGCTATTGCCAGCCACTGCAACATAAATTCAATCCCCTGCCAGGAAGATAGCCCACGTGGTGCAGCAGACCTCTCCTATCTCACCTACTGGTCCCCCTCAGTGGTTTATTTCAGTAGATCTACCTGTTCTTCTCCCCACCCTCATCTTTCCCCAAACCTCTGGCCTATTCTTCAGTTGCATAAAGAAATCTTAAATATATATATATATATAAAGTACATGGGAGGAAGCACAGTTGTATATCATGCAAATACTTTGCCATTTTATACAACGGACTTATTAGCAAGCAAGGACTTAAGTAGGTTGGTGGGTAGCAGTATTCAGGATCCAATCCCTCCATCCCATAAAGCTATCAAGAGACTACTGTAATTCACAAACACCTTATACGTACATGCAGTGTATGTGTGCTGACAACAGACAGTTTTAAACTTGAGATCTAAGAACAGAATTTAAGGCTTCCATAAAAATATTCCTTTAAAATTTATAAAAAACTGGCCCTCCCTGGTGGTGCTGCGGGTTAGGACACAGTACTGCAAGTGAGCCTCAGCCGCTTAAGCCTCAGCCGCTTCAGTGCGAGTTCAATCCCTGGCCCCAGAGGTGACCCACATGGTGTGGCAGACCTCTCCTGACCAGCCCGCTGTTCCCCTCAGCAGTGTACTTCATCAATCTGCCTGTTCTCCTCCCCACTCTTGTCTCTGGTGAATCTTCTCACCGATCCTACACCTCTGGCCTGTACCTCAGTACTGTATGCATAAATAAATAAATCTTTTAAAAAATTATAAAAAACTATTACACATATATATTTCACAGGAATCCCCAGGCTGTCTATGATTTTTTTTTTAAATGATTTATTTATTTGTTCATACAGAACTGGGGTACAGGCCAGAGGCTCAGGGGCAGTGAGAGGCTTCACCAGAGAGAGTGGAGAACAGAACAGACAGATCGACGAAGTACACTGCTGAGGGGAGCAGCGGGCGGGCCAGGAGAGGTCTGCCACGCCATGTGGTCACCTCCAGGGCAGGCAGGAATCGAACTCATGCAGAAGTGGCTCTAGCTTCTCAGTACTGTGCTTTAACCAACTGCGCCACCAGGGAGGGCCAGCTGTCTATGATTTTAAGAAGAAATGCTGCCTTATATAGAAATCACTGCTAATAAAACTTAATTTTTTTTTAAAGATTTACTTATTCATGCAGAACTGGGGTACAGGCCAGAGGTGCAGGGGTGATGAAAGGATTCACCAGAGACAGAATGGGGAGCAGAACAGACAGATGTACTGAAATACATTGCTGAGGGGTGCCAACGGGTGGGTCAGGAGAGGTCTGCCATGCCATGTGGGTCACCTCCTGGGGCCAGAGATCAAACTGCACTGAAGTGGTTGTGGCTTGCTTACAGTGCTGTGCCTACACCCACTGCACCCCAGGGAGGGCTTGTAGAACTTTATTTCTCTAATTTACAAGAAATTTCAAAATAATCAGGCAATTAATTCTAAATATTCCATAACACACAGTCCACTTCATTGGAGTTCACAGTTATCAACTGATTTTCAGAAATTATATTGGGGATTTTCTAAGATAATAATTAATTACCACTTAAAGGAATGGACAAAAAGAAATTACAAGGTAAGAAGGTAATGTCTCAGGATGCTGCAAGACTGAAATGTGTGCCCCTCCCCATGTGTTGAAACCTCATTTCCATACCACTGTATATGGAGGTGGGGCCTTCAGAAAAAACATGAGGTTCATGAGGGTGGAGTTCTCATTAATCGAGTTAGTGGAACCAGGAAGCTCATAGTTTCTGCCATTGGAGAACACAGTACGAAGACAGCTGTGTCTGAAGAGAAAGCAGGTCCTCACCACTGATCCACTAGAGCATTGATCTTGTATTTCTCAGGCTCACAACCAGAAATTTTTCTTATTATCACTCAAAATCTTTGGTAGTTATAGTGCATAAAAGGACTAAGTGAAACTCAGTAAGACTAACTATAATCTTTTTGTGGAAATAGAATACTGGTGGATTAGATAGCCTTTCAGGACAAAAACTAATCTTTTTAGCTATTTTCATGTAATAATACCATCTGAGCCAGAGTTAATACAGTGTGAATAGTGACTGAGTTAACAACAGATGTGAAGAGAATTTTTGTTTATATGTTAACTTTAAGTCAGTTATAATGGTTCATTAACTAATGGAATAATAAAAAAATATATCTTCTAACCATTTGTTTCAAGTTCCTATTAACCTCAAAGAAAGTAGTATTTAAAGCTTCATGGAAAGCATTTTTTCCCCTAGCTAAGGAAACGGGGGTACAGGCCAGAGGCAGTGACAGGATTCACATTATATCATTATATCCTGTGTATTCTTAAGCATTTTTATGTTTCATCTCATTTATCCTTCAAAAACCCCGACTTAATCACCATTCTAAAATAAAGAAAACTGTCTTAGCTTAAATTGAACTGTCCAAAGACACACAGCTAAGTAAATGACACAGGTCATTTCTTGTTTTCTTTAGCTACATAGTTGAAGTTTTAAAAAGGTAACATTTCTATTCATATTTTAGGATCAATAAACTTTTTTACTCCTATCACTCCTTTCATGATACACCAGAGTAACTACCATATGCCATCTACATAAATTTCCTCATTTATTTGTATACAATCAATTAGATTAGACTTTTTAGGATCCAGAAGCACCTCTTATTTATAAATAGTGTCCATCACAAAAAAAAGGTATCCAATAAATGTTAGCAGAGGAGGCCTTCTTGGTGGTTCAACAGATTTAAAGCACAGCACTATGAAGCTATCCACAGTGTTAGTACATTGTAGATTATCAGCTGATACTGTTATCAGGTGGCTAACCAGGAGTTGTGACTTACTGCCACTGCCCATCTTCACAAGAGAATATTATAGCACATACTGCTAGCCTAGAAAAAGACAAAAATTCTAAGAACGGTTTCTAGTGAATGTGAGTTCAATCCCTGGCATGGCAGACCTCTCATGTCCTGCCCATTGCTCCCCTCAGCAGTGTATTTCAGTCAATCTGCCTGTTCTACTCCTCACTGTCTCTGGTGAATCCTCTCACCCCCCTGCACCTCTGGCCTGCATCCCAGTTCTTGTGTGCATAAACAAAATCTTTTTAAATCTTACACCCCCCAACCCCCGAAACCACCTTTATCTTCAGAGTTTTCAAAAACAAATACAAAGGTTTATGAAACACAAAAACCCAAATAGAAGTCAAGAGTCTTATACTTCATTATTAACTAGCCTGTAACATTGAGTAAAATAATCAGCATAAAATGATAATGAACAATAGGTTTATTTCCAAAGTCTTATACCAGTCAAGAATAGATCTTACAACATTAAAGATACTGTTTATTATTTAAATTTTATTAGACAAATTTACAGTAAACCTTTCCTCATATGTAGTTTTTCTCTTCAATTGCTATTTCTGGGTTGCACAGTAAATAAATTTTTTTATATATATACACATTTGAAGTTTTTTGCAGTTTCAATGATTTTTCAGCAAGTTCCTTTATACTTAAAAGAACATCATTCTGCTTCTTTATGCCAGACTTATTTCTTAACCAATACAAATGTTCCCTGACCTGTGATGGCTCAACTTAAAATTTTCTTGACTTCATGTTATGCAAAAGTGATTCACATTTATTTGAAACCATTCTTAGAATTCTTGTCTTTTCCTGGGCTAGCAATATGTGCTATAATACTCTCCTGTGAAGATGGGTGGTGGCAGTAAGGCACAGCTCCTCATCAGTCACCTGATGACAGTATCAACTGATATTCTACAGTGCACTAGCATTTTGAGCACAGACTAAAATATAATGCTCAGTAGGTTAATTGTGCCATGCATGCTGACTAAGGGTATTTTCATGTTAAGGTGGGTTTATCAGGATGAACCTTACTATAAGTCAAAGAATATCTGTGCATACCTACCTAGTAGGCTCTCTTATATATATACCACAAGGAATAAAAGACCAATTCTAAGATTTTCTGTCCCTGAGGGAAAAAAATGGTCATCTTAAGTTTTATTTCCTCTTTTAAGCATGAGGGAAAACAATTTATTCTTAAAAGTCTTATGTGTCTCACAGGTAATAAAAATTTGACCACAATACGTTTCAACATTTCCATGGCAACTGGCTCAAGGATCCAACAAGTACGTTGGGTCTTTGAAAGGATTCAGTTATGGTGCAAAGTGTGTGTACAGGGAGAATTCCAGGAACAGAAAATTCTTCTGGGAGAATGTTATCTATGTATGAAATAAATCTGAAGGTATGTGACTCCTCTATGTAGGGACTTCTGACCTAAAAGTCCCAGAATGGTGTAATTATAGAATACTGAGTGTAATTATAGTATATTCAGAAACATGAGCATATACAATATTGGTGTCAAATT